TCGCCTAGAGAACTCCGGGATGACTTACTTTCCCCTTCAGACTTGACTGTAACTTTCTTCAAAATGTGGAAGGAAGCCTCTGGATAAAGGAGCCTGGCGAACGCCAGGCAAACCCGTGATGGGCACGACCAGGGCGGCGGCTGCGACAGATGCACACAGAACCTCCACGCCCCCGTCTGCGAGGGGGCTCCAGCCCCTCACACACACCCGTTCCTGCGGGCGCCCTGGGAAGACACTCCCAGAGCCCCCTCCCGGGGCGCCCGTGGGCACAAGGTGTGCAGACCCCGGACTCCACACAAGGAGCTGTTCACAAGGAATCTCCCCAGTTCAGAGGAGGCCACCTTCCGCCTGACATCTGCAGGTGCGCTCAGCTCATCTCCCAGGAACCCTCACCCAGAGCAAGGGCCAGGCCTGAGAGAAAGAATGACTTACCCATGGAAACTGGGTTAAAATGGAAGGAAAACAGCTTTGACTTTAATCACTACGTATTTTCAGATTCTTATTTATATCTGAGAAACTGATCAGACCCACTGACCTCTGATACATCACTTCCTTCTCAGTCTGCTTCCCCCCAAACCAGCCTCTTTTCTCGCCTTCTTTCTTCCTTAAAGGACTGACTTCTCATCCTTGCCATGGGAGAGCAGTGGTCAGGATACGGGCCACCTTTAGGTCAGTCGCGTTTTTGTTCGTGAGGCAGGGGTGTGTCTGGGTGGAGCGAGCCTCCTGTAAGAAGACGGCCCCCTCCACCCCGCATGCGACCATTTTGCCAGCGTGGCTGGAAGCACAGTGGTGCCACGCGGAGAGCGGGCCTGGCTCCGCGGCGGAGCACCTGCTGTCAGAGGCGAGCCCCTCCTCACAGGTGAGAAAGGTGGTCTCCGAGGCGAAGCAGGAGTGCTGCCCGCCTGGACCTGAGGGCAGCCTGGGCCCCAGCCGGGGGCAGCCCGGCCTTGGGAGCGGGCGGGAAGCGGGTGGGGGGCACCTGGGCTGCTTCTCCTCTTTTGACAATGTTTGGGGTAGGGGCATTGCCTTATTTTTTTAAGTATTTTCAAAACAGACCACGACTTATGAGCAATTTGCAGCAACACGAGGAACCCTGAGGACCCCTAAAATGGAAAGTGGACACAGGTGTGCACGGCAGAGCCGGGAAGTCCAGGGTGGAGGCAGAAGGAAGGCCAGGCGATTGAGCGTCTCTGTGCCCGGTGTTACAGTCAGTGTCATACAAATTCCCTTTGAAAACCGTAAACAATTATTTGTGATGCTTTAAAAAGTTAAAAAGAGAATGTGAAATCCCCTACTTCCAACAAAACACAGTGACGCTGTCTGCTTGGTCAGCTCAGACTCAGGAGGCCACGGAACGCGAGGAAGGCAAGCAGTCACCCTGACCTTCAAATGCGCCATCGACTGGCAGCTGTTGGAGGCCAAGGGCCGACCAGGGCGGGGCCCGGGGAAAGATGACCCTGTCCTCCGAGGAGCGGGCCCAGCGCTCTCGTCCCCGCGGGTGGGACGTAGTGGGAGAAAATAAAAGCTACAGAACAGAAGTGGAAATGAGAAGATGTTTTATTAACACGTCTTTCAATTACAACACAGTCCAAAGCACAGTTTTCAGCACGGAATCACACACATGATACACACAAGAGTACATTTGTTCATGTCCTGTAACATGTCGCAAGTGCGCTTCACAAATGTTCCTGAGGGCGCTGTCACAGTGATTAGAGCAAAGGGAAGAGCGGGGAACAAAAGGCACAGCGCTTCCCGCACACGTACGCGGCGTGTGTTTGGCAGAAAACAGGAGTAGGTCAACCCAGCAGAGAGCAATTCACCATCTCCCACTTCTGAACTCGCAACGCACCGCCCACAAACCGCGTGGACTCCAGTCAGGGCGCCTAGCACTAAGGTTAGGAAGGTCACAGTCAGCCAGCGCAACAAGGTCAAACGGGCCGGCGCGTCCCAGCGCAGTAAGGCCTGCGCTAGCCTGAACTCACGCAAGGGAGCTCCTGCAAAAGGAAGGTGAGAACAGAGGGCGGTTAGAGGCTGCGGGACGCTGCTCCCACGGAGCGCCACTCCTGGGCAGACTGCAAAACAACAGAGTCCAGATGTCACTGTCGCCAACCAAAGGCCTGGAGGGACAAACCAGCAGTAAAACCTGTCAAGGCAAAGGCTTAGATGCAACCGCGCTGTGGCCGCGGCACAGACCTGACACCGGCAGCCCCGAGTGCAGCTGTGAATGTTGACGCTGGACAGAGCAGCTGGAGCAGCCATCACTGCCCCAGGAGGAGTGGGAGGAGAGAAGGGACCCCAGGGAAGGACGGGGGAAGAAGGCAGGCCTCTGGGGACGGGAGGGACCCAACGACGGGGGCGGGGGGGCGGGGGGAGGTGCGTGGGGAAGGCCCAGGGAAGGAAGGAGGGTGTGGGAGCCGGGCTGGCGGCCCAGCCACTCAGCAGCAGGAGCAGGACGGGGCTGGGAACGCCCAGCAAAGGGAACTAGCTCCAAAATGAAAAAGGAAAAAATCAGATTTTGGACCATGTTGCTGGTGAACCTGAAAATTAAACAGCGGGATGAAAGCCTCAGAGTTAAAATCCTCACAGAGGAAAAACAATTCTGGATCCCATGCCTGTGAAAAGCAAAGCTGAATCATAAAAACAAGCGATTACTGGCTCTTCAGTCAACAGTATGAACGTGTTGTGCACGTGTTATTTTAAAAACCTAGAATTATATACTCTGAGACGGCACTGCGGGTGCATGAAATTTAAACAGTCCTTCACAAATCACGTTCCACTACGTGCCCTTAAATGAAAAAGAGTTTAAAAGAAAATCACGCTGAAAGAAGGTTAAGAGACCCACGTCCCAGAGTCTACTAAACCACTACATACAGAATGTATTAAAGCAGGACAGCTGTCTGTCCACTCAGTGGAAAATACTAAAAGTTAAAAACTACATGATGTTTCCTTTTTAAAGGGCCTATATTCTTCTACATACCTTCCAAAATTAGTGAAATAAAACACAGCAGAACACCCACATGAAGACCTTTTTACATTTTTGTCTATTGGAAGTAAAAGAAAGTAGCAACTTTTCAATAAAAACACCCGTCCTGCCTGCCCATCTTCTTAACGGGAAGATTTCCTACCAAAACATGGCACAGAAAAGAGAGTTAAGGTTTTTTAAACATTCTCCAGAAAGGGCAGGTTACACGTGTAAACCAATGGTCCTTCCCAGCCACACGCTGCAGAAGAAGGTACCCCTGGGATCCAATATGAATCAGTGAGTTTTGTTTGGTTTTAGCACGTAAAACCACGGGCACTTCAAAATGAGGAAAATTAAGTAGGTTGCAAAAAAACCTTACACAAAATCCTTAGGATTCAGGAGTAGATCAAGGCTGACCGCCTTCGGGGAGTTCATAGTCACCAACGTCCAAAGCAACACTTGACTCAGTTTTAAAAACAGTTGGAAGGTTAACTGAAATGCTCATTAAATACAGTAAAATCGCTAAACTTTCCCTCTAACCGGTGTGAGCGCCTGCGTCTCCTCCGTGGGGGGTGGGAGGTATCGACACCCCCTCCCTCTGCTAATTAAGGTTAATCCCCTTGAGAAAACTGTCACTTAAAAACCTGTGAAGAATCAACAATACCTTTCAGCCCCCCACCCCTACACAAACAAAGGACGAGGTGCAGGGCTGTGGTGGGGCTGCGGGGGCGGCGCTCGCCTGCCTGAAGTGAAGCAGCTCTACCCTGCGGACAGACACGGCCGGCCGGCCGGCCCGAAGCCACCTGCCGAGGGCAACAGGCCCTACGTGGTTCTGGACCACCGGGCACGCTGTCTTTCTGGGAAGCTAAGGGAGGGAAGCAAGGGGGGCTCGAGGGCTCCACAGCCCCCCGGAACAGCCCCGGGTGCTCTGCACACAGGCCGCCACCAAAACCTGACTTCTCTGTAGGGTCCCTGTCAGTCACAAGCACACTGAGCTTACCTTCAGTTAAACAACAAAGAAATAAAATTCAAAACAAAAAACAAAAACAAAAAACGGAACAAAACAAAAACCACAAGCCAAAAGAAAAAAAAAAAGAAAGGAAGTGTTCGGTTCCCAACACAAAGCCGGCCTCGGGTCTCATCCGCCCTCCGCACCAGCTGCGGGGCCTCCTCTGTCTGAGGTCCGCGCTCCACCGGGCCCCCATCCTCTGGCCAGCGGCGTCCCGCAGACATCTACCGAGGCCACCGTGTGCCCACCCGCCCGCGTGCTTCTCCACTGGGCCGCTGACTGCCCTCCGGAGCCAGCGCGCTGAGGGCAGCTCGCTACCGACACCAACTCCTGGCACCCCCTTCGCTCTCCACCACCGCTCCTCGCCCACGTCCACCGCTCCTTCCCCTTCACCCTGGACAACTCTCCCAGCCTCCTTCCAGCAACAAGGCCTACTTGCATAATTCAGCAAAATGCTCTTTAAAAAAAGACCCCTCGGTGCAGGATCTAAGCTGTCACCATGCAAACACGCTACAGAATGAAGCATAAATAATCATTTATCCAGGACCTTTACAATCATGAGAAGGAACCCAGATGAGGAAGAGTTATGATGAAGCCCCTCCCCCACCCTCCCCTCCCCCTCCCCGGGGGGAGAGGGCGCAGGCACCTCCCTAGGATGCTGCCTGTCCCCAAAGGGGGACCCTCAACATTTCTTCTGGAAAAAAGAGAGATTTCCCCTGGAAGACTATCAACGTAAGGACTTAACAGATGTGGCCAGACCAAAGGTAATGCAAGGTTATGCCCAGAGAATCAGCTAGGTGAGCTCACATTACAGCATAAAATCAAAACAAGATAATGCAGAAAGAAAAAGTAACTCAGCTGCATATAACCACCTACAGTATCTACCTCATGAGACAGACTGGTATTTACTGGCTTCTTGAATTTGGGAACAAATAATACACAGGTCAGGATAAATGTATTGACTTACTACCATCTTTATAAAAATCGAATATACACACAAACACATCAACAATTATGGAACTGTGTCCATTAAACTCTGATAAGACAACACAAAAGAACTAACAAATTGCTAAGATGTTGCTGAATTGAAAGCATTTCCAATAACATTTTAATTTTAAAAGGTCCATATTTACACAGTATGTTAAATGCTTCTGCATCTCATTTTAAATGCATGATAAATAAAGAACAAAGATAATGGTTGCAACAGATCTTCCAAGAGGGCTCAGCTTACGGTGGTCTGACTTCACTGCGAGAAGTGCACCAGAAGTGGAAGGAACGTTACTTTCTAATTCTGCTTCTTTCCTTTTCCACAGGTTCCTCCAAGGAAACTAAGCCTTTGTTACCGGTCCCAGCTGGCACTCACAGAGCCCGAGCCCAGGGACCACGTGCGTCAGGGGGCCGACTGCATGGGACCTTTCTACACAGTCCTTTCTGAAAGGCCCAGTTCGATTCGATGCTCTTTCAAGAACGTATCAAGAGAAAGCTTGCTTGTGTGTGCGGACAGTTACAGAACACACACGTCCCAGGGCGCCCATGTCACACTCGGACAATGCCAAGAGCAGACCTGGAAGCGGCCAGGAGGTCTGCCTTGAGCAGCGGGGCCCAGACAGGACGGGCTCCTTATCAAGACTAGAAAGAAGCACGTCTGAATGGCTACTCTCAGGGACAACGTGCGAATTTTCAATTTCAGAGCCACAGCACACTCAGACAACTTCAGAAAGTGGTAAAAATTTGTTAGTCATTTGATCGCATCATTAAGTCCTCAATGGTGAAAGAAGTCCGTTAACTGCGAGCCCTGCTGCTGCCCGGTGTGGGCAAGTGGCCTGGGTCCCTCCTAACTAAAGCCTACAGGCCACTCCACTCGGCATCTCCATGCCACTCTCTGTGGACGGAGCCAAAGAAACTACGCTTTTCACTCTACAGGCATCTGCACGCACCCACGGGAACGGGGGACCGCGGCCGCGCGGGCCAAGCAGCCGAGGAAGGTGCCCCGCGCTGACCATCGGTCAGCTTGCTGAGCATCTGGAGGCAGGGACGGCACACGACACTGTCCTCCGAGGGTTAGTCGGGGGCCTTCTGGAACCCGGGTGGCCGGGTGGCCAGGCACCTCAGCGGAGGGTGTTCCAGCACGTTCTACGAGTGCCTACAGCTTCCTAAGGCAGAAATCTTCAGAAGAGCAACCACCGACAGCCACCTCCACTTGCCAGGCCCACGCTAGGCACACAATGCCGTTCTGGAATCAAGGCTACAGATAGTCTCACAGGGTCTAAAATACTCTCCTCTAGCTCCGGCAAATTAATTTCACACAGTCACACAAAACTTCAACTGTGAACATAAGACACAAGTCCACAAGACCTGTGTCTCAGCTCCCACGGGAAGGCCGAGAGACAGGGACGCCTGCTGCGGACAGCTCCTGGCCACGTCCGGCCCTCGGCGGGCTCACCAGAGGCACTCGGTGAGCAGAGGCTTGTCTTTCCCTTCGTTCTGTTAATAAATCGGCCATGAAATCTTAGGTATAAAATATAGCTTAAAAGGCTGAGTATGCCCCACTATCGTTTGCTCAAATAGTTTAGGTCCACTTTAGAATAAATCCAAAATAGTGAAACTCTTTCACGAGCAGAAATACAATAAGGCACTTTTTTCCAGTGTTTGCCCAGAACGGATTTTACTAAGATGGCTCTACGGGGAGGGAGAGTCTCACCTGGAGGAGCCTAACCAGAGCTCAATCGCTACGGCTGCTCTCACGCCACACGCTGCGGACAGCACCCCGCCAGCACAAACGCCACCCGGCTCCTGGGTCCACTGAAGGACAGCACGGCCCCTGCTCAAAGGCCTTCCAAAAAAAGAGAAAGCTAACCTAAGCAGTGCTAACCAGGTCCCCAGAGAACGTCCCATGTGTCACAGAGCTAGTGACGTGCATGTGCAAAGAGGGGAAACCCAACAGGTCTGTCAGCACTTGGGGCCGTCCCCCCACCTCGGAAACCCAACAGGTCTGTCAGCACTTGGGGCCGTCCCCCCACCTCACCTGGCAGGTGCGCGGCGCGGCCGGCCTAGGAGGGGGCCCGGCCAGGGCGGCGAGCGAGCGCGCCCCCCACCCCTGCTCTAAGCCCGGGCACGTGGTGGCCCTGCCAGCATCTCCGCCTCATTCGGAAAGAGTGCAAAAAGGGGTGTTCCCTTCGGAACTAGGGACATACAGTTGGTGCTTTTGGAATATTTACAAGAAGCAGAATCGGCCACACAATTGGCACCACTCCCAACCACCCTCATACCCTGCTTTCCAGGATATGCGACTGTCGATCATAATCACCCGAATTTTAATCTACGTTTTTACAAGAGCCTTTGAGGGCTTTCTCAGAAGAACACAAGTGAAGCCTGGCTGAGAAAATGCTTGTCTAGCCTGCACTGAAGATAAGTGCAACCATTATCAAATATTCTTTGCTGAGAGAAATACTGAGAATTCGTGACGTTAATGCTCGTTCCTGAACCTAAGCCACTGAAATCGACCACACAGTAAGGTCACAAAGAACAACGTCGCCATGCACTGGAAGCACTTTGGAAACAAAAGAGAACGAGAACTGTAGTCCTTTGTGGTGGCGGCAGACTTCGCAGCACTCTAACACCAGCCCCGGTCCACCACGTCCCGGAGGTTCAGCCCTCCTGGAGCCAGTGCTGGCCGCCGGGCGCTCCGGGCAAGTCACGCAGGACCGAGGGCGGAGAGGCCTAGGCGCGTGGGGACTCTGCGCCGGCAGCTTCCACGGAGAAACTCCACCACGTGTGTGCGGCGTTAAGGGCAGCCTCTCCTGCCAGAAATCACTCAACAATCAGGGCCACGTTTATGTGGGACAAATCTATCATATGCCTGTGGAAATTTAAAGAAACAAGGACCATTAAGCTAACTCAGCACACAGCAGTCAGCTCACCACGGCAGGAGAAAGCGAAGGCAGAACGGGGCCCTGACGAACAGAACCCATTACATAAAACGCAGACTGACGGGAAGGCCGACATCCAAGCAAGGGGCAACCACACGCGTCACAAAAGGACGCACGCCCGTCTCCACGCCCTCTGCCCGCACCCCGGAGTTTCCGCAGTGACAGGCAGGCACCCAGACGCGTGACGCAACAGCACTCTGGCAGAGGGCAGGCCACAGGCAGAGGCTCTCCCGCCTTCTCCCCGCGTCTGCACCAGGGCACGCACGGCTACCTGTGGAATTTCTGCTGAAATGCTAACGCGTGGGCTGGTTCCTTGAACTTGGCGATGGCTTTCCGCTGCTGGGGAAGCATCTGTAAACTCTAAGAGAAGACAACAGAGAAACAGGTTAAAAGCAAAAAAAGACCAAATAATGTTCATCAGATTGAATGTAACATTCGAGTCCAGGCTGACACCTGGATCGCTAAAACTAATTCTACCTCCCTGCCAGTTTTTCTTACCTACCCATGTAATCTGCCCAAAACCAGCGCTTCACTGAGCCGCTGCCCTGAGCAGCATTTCCACCCTCCAAGCCGGGCCCAGCAGCCACCTAGTCTTCTCTCTAAACCTGCTGTGAGAGGCAGGGGCGGGCGCCCCTGGAGCGCTACTTTCCTGTCTTCTCATCCCGTGAGTGTCCACGGGGCCCTCACCTCGCTCTTCACAAGAGCAGTGCTTCTCACAAAGGAGGTCCTTTAGCAAGGACCCCACCGCCTGGAGGGGCAGTTACCGCCTGCTGACCGCTGGGGCTGATTCAGCTTGTCAGCTGTGCAGCTGGGCCACAGTGAGGGGCCGCTGTGCCTACGGCAGCCGTCAGCACGATTTGGTCACATTTTGTGCTTAAGTTTGAGTACTAAGTGGCATCTTAAATTAAACCTTTAGTAGTTAACCACTGTACAGTAAAAACCAAACGCGTTCATGAAGAAGCTAGATCCAGCCAGTGAAGAGTGCGAGGATGGAGAACTCACAGCTGGTCCTCACATTTGCCCCAGGAGGAGGGACGGCTCTGTGTTCCCTGCAGCCTCAGGAGAACTCGGATTTCTCAGCCACTCCTACCCTCCAGAGTCCGATCGCTCTCAAGCATCTCAGTGACTTGCCAAGTGCTTCCGGGGCAATGAGCAAAGTGGCAGGTGGGGCCTTGCCACCACGGGGACGTGCTGGACGGAGCAGCACAGGACTCAGTGTGCTCAGTGGTCAGGAGCCGTCTGCTGTGTGTGGGCCTCTGACTAGTGAAGCAGGACAGTCAGAAAGAACTACTGATGGTACCACACCGCCCTTTAAAAGTGCTCACACATGCGGCCGTTTCCTGTTAGACTAGCATCTGTCCAAAGGCCTACAGTGAACGCACACAGCCACACATCCAGTCCTTGAAGTACGTCCAGAAAAGCAAGAGCCTATGAGATAAGTACTCTCCATCTTAATAAACCCAGACCACTCAGACAGTCTGGGGCACATCACCCACCAGGACTGGACCAGGACTGGACCAGGCCACAGGCAGCAGCGAGCAGCGTCTGCCTGTTTTCTGAAAGCGGTGTAGCAGACACCGGATTTTTCCTCTTCCGTCAGATACAAAACCCAGAAGCAGAAGAATCTTCTTGATGATTTCACTTATCTAAGGTTGCCAGGGCGAGGAAGGCCCAGTAACCTGGTCTTACTGCTGTCAGGTAGCTTCTCCTGCACACAGAGTGAGCCTCAGAGAGTCCTCCTGTGTCACGGGACAGAGACTGTTCTCGGTCCCAAGCTTCCAGCCCAGGCCCTCTGCGCTGCAGCCCTGAAGGGCCTCCTGCTGGCGGGCTTGGGGGCTGTTTCCCAAGAGCAAACGCTGCGCTGCTCGGCCACCAGCCGGGGCGGGGGCGCAGATGAGGGCCGGCCTCACAGCACAAGCGCGGCCCCCGCAGCGCCAGCCTTTCTTTCTGATCCGACCTCCAGAGGCCCTCGGTGCTCTTTTCTGTCTTCTGGCCACATGGCTGCAGGGCTGCAGGGCACTGGGGGCACCGCAACGCCCCAACGTGACAGCGACAGCGCCATGCCATGCGGCCAGCGCTGTAGCAGCTCTTACCTCAAGAATCAGAAGAACTCATCTAAACTTATTTCGTCCAAAAATACAAAACTGCTCAATTAGGAGCAAACGAGAAACTAACTGCTTATATCACACACTCTACGATTCACAGATGGAATCTGGATTTCGAAAATACCACGCTCTTCCTTGAGAAAAGACACTTCTAGCTCTTACTCCCTTTGGATGATTCCACAATGAAGTGAAGGTGTGAGCTCCCTTCCCGCCACGTGCCACACAGCACAGTAGGCTGCCGGACGGAGGGAGAGCTGCTACGCGGTTTGCCCCTCAGGTACCAGTCAAGAGAGCACCAGCTCCCACTAAGGCTCCCAGCTCAGGGCCGCGCTGGCTCTCGGCAGTCGACGCGGGGAGTGAGAGCTGTCTTAGAGTCTGAGCTCTGCTCCCCTTGACTGACATCTTTGCACCTTTTTTCAAAAAATAAACCCTCTTTTCCAAATACGAGACTGAACTGCAGAAACTGGCAACATTCAACCACTGCCGACCTACCTCAATGACAGGTACTGATGATCACCTTACTGGGAAGAGAGGAAAGATACTTTGCACTAAAAGCTAAAAGGCTTATTATTATGATCACCAGCATCACTGTCTTCCACTTAGAAAATATGTACTTCTACCTAAGTCAGGAGCACATTTCCAAATAATTAAATAGTTTAATTCACCCAGAACAGACCAAGAGCTAAGATCTGTCTGAAGTCTGCATGCCACTGTGAGCGCCAGCCCACCCCCCCCAAACAACAGGGAGGCACACGGACAGACAGGCAGCTCGCCCACGCCCAGCCGGACTGACTTCTCAGTCTTCAGAGACGAGACATCTCCAGACAGCTTCTGAGAGTGGCTGCGCCACTACCCGCAGCAAAGCGCACGTTAAAACACCCCTGCGTGCGCATTCCACGATCCCCGTCAGGGCTGTGGTGGAACCGCCTGCCACCGGGCGTGACACAGAAGAAAAGCTCTGACAACCTACTATATAATCTCAGAAAGGAGTCTGTGCTGTTCAGAATCTTGGCCTCTTTTTCGCAATTGGGAAAAGCTCTTCCTCTCTCTAGAAAGAGCCTGTGTTTATGTATACAAATAAATTAAAATGTTATGGGGATTCAGAAATGATCCTGTAGTCCTGAAAATCAACTAAACCTTCCCCATCTCTGGCCGACAGTGCCTGGTAGCGCAGGTTTGCCTGAAGCCAAAATGGTACCGATACTGAGCGGCGCCGGCTGCAAACCCTTAGAAACGCCCCCTCCCTCTCCCCTCCCGGGACGGTTTGGGCACCACGCAGGGACGTGCACAGGGACGTCCTTTGGGCACCACGCAGGGACGTCCTTCTCCACGTGACGA